AGACCTGTGAACTTGCAAGGATTGGTTATATTGGTGCCTGCACATTGGGGTATAATATGGACCAATGTTTTCATTCAAAAACAGCGAAGAAAACTATTTTCTTTAATGGTATGCCAGATTTATCCAARTATTTCAGCAAGTCTATATTACAGTTTGTCAGCAAACTGGGTACAACCAAAGTGTATTTAAAAATCATTTAATTAGGACAGATTCATTTTCACTCCATGCCACTACACAGCAAGACTTGCTTGTTCATATTTCCTTAAATTTATCCTGGAATTTGTCCAAGTTTAGCTTTAATGAGAAACCTATCCCGCTAGTTACATTAGGATTTATTTTCCCCTGGAGAGGAGTGTTTGAATTGATAGTTTTTTAACCTGTTCAGTTAAATGAACATATGTTCAGAGCTGCATCTTAACTCTTAAGTGTAAAAATCTGAGAAATAATTATTTCTATTATTGTTACAGTTTTAAAGTGTGGTGTTTAAGTAGTGGTTTTAGATTCCAACTGTGCGTCATAACTGTTCTAATGTGGTGATGAGTTTTGATATGAAGTCCCATTCAGTTGCTTAACGCAAATTTAATGATACGATATCAAAACACGGTTCTGACTTCGTTTACTGAGAAAAATATTTGTACTTGTATTTCACTTATTGCTTGAACGTATCTCTTGGGTTGTAAAACTTGGTTAAATATAGCTCAGTTCCTTATTCATGATGGATTTTCTGTATTAACAGGTGCCGTTTGGTAGCAAACTTGTGTTTTAAAGTCYTTTTAAATGCATTATTTGTATTCCAAAACTATTATAATAAATTCTGAATTATAATTACACTTTCATCACTAGCCAGGTCTAGTTAAAATTTCCTTTAAGCAACATTTGCTGCACACATGGTATAATACATCTCCACCCCTCCTTTTATAGCCTTGATTTTTTTTCCTATAAAAAAGCATTTATTTTCTTCAACTTCCCTTTCCCCCTAAATTATCTTAAAAGGAACAGTGCACTTAATCCCTATGGAATTCTTAAAGTATAATAAGCTTAAAATTTGCATCTTGAAAAAAATTATTTCATACACTATTATTGCCCATAGGGGAATTTTTAAACAAAACTTTAGAATTCCATATTTAGCATAGTTATGTACAGTAGTTCTAATATGTATTTTTAGTCAAACTTGGACGGGATGTTTTTCTTGCCATCAGCTTGTGTGCTCTTGTCGTAAGTCTTCAGAGAGCTCCCTGCAGCTCCTGAGCTTGTTAACACAAAATGTTGTTTTAGAGCAGAAAATTGTGTAACAGTGTTGGAGCTGAGCTTGGCTGAAAAAGTTCCTCTGCCATCTCTCTCCCCTCCCAGCTGAACTTCAGGAAACTCAGCTTTTGAAATCGTTGGACTTCTTTTTTTTTTTTTTTTTTTTTAACATTTAATACTGTACAATAATATTCAGAAATGACACAAAAATTAGAAAATTTAATGTATTTAAAGGCATAAAGGAAAAAAAGTTACAGTGCTCTTCTGCAATGAGATGAGCAGTGAAAGGTCCTGGGTTGAATGGCTTGAAGAAAGAGGTGCCAGGAAACAGTCTGACTGATGTCACCATGCAGTGCACTGCTTTCCACTTAATATCAGCAAAAACCTTGCTTATCTTCATATCTAGTCTTTAGGCCTCAGTTCTGCATAAGCCTAAGTAAGTTGGACTATCTTTTTAATCCCAGRCTTTAAAATCAAAACAAAAATTGTCTGTTTGTTTTCTGTTTTTGTTTTGCAGTGAAGGAGTTTTCTTAAGTATAAAATTGTGTCTCATTGCTGATATTTATGAATTGCACACCTTGGATTTAAACACCTCTAGGGAAGCAAGTTTAGCTACTATCTCTCATTATAAAATGCCCCTGTGCTGCAGAATGTCCTCTGTGCTGCCTATGGAATYCAGGATTTATCTTGCAGTGTCGGGCTGGAGGATATAGGGGTGTCCACGCGAAGGGGTGTGTGAGCAGGTGAAGCAGGAGATCCGTTTGCCTGGGTTCCCACAGGAGAGAGACCACCACAGGTCCCTCGTGTGTTACCTGTGGTAGGAATGGTCAGAATATGCTCAGGGCTCTTGGTGTCTTTCAGCTGTCTATCTGAGTTGGAATGTTATTGCTTATTTATTAGTTATTATTAACATTATTGTTTTGTCTGTCTGTAGGGCCATTCTGATTTTCTGACAAGCTTATTATCCGAACTCTTCTGGAAAACAAAAAAATGATTTTTAAATTTTTAAATGATTTTTCTGTGTCAACAGATAGCGAAGTCTTTTGGACACATTCTTTCTTAGATGGCCGCACGGGTTGTTGGAGAAGGAAGGGTTTGGAAAAGATGCCCTTCTGAGAGGGTGCTCTGTGTTTTGAGGCTCAAAGCGAGAGACTGAAAGAGCTTCAGGAATTTTGTCCAGATACGGCTTATCCCAGAGCTGCTGCAGTATCCCAGGCTGTGCTGCCATGGCTGGAGCAGCGCTCTCAGTTTGAGGTCTGCTTGTGCACTCCTCGTATGGCCATGAGCATCCGACATGGGTAGGACACGCTGAGCTCCTTCCAGCAGAGCCAGTTTCACTGGTCTCAYCCCACCTTAACTGCATGGTGACAGTGACTGCCATAAAAATAATCCTTTAATTTAAATCTCTGCCAAAAACCCTTCTAACAATTTTTGTTCCAACAGAGCCTGTGCTGATCCAGAACACTGTGATTCTAAATTTCTTTCAGTCATTGGGCCTGTTTTCTACTATCTGAAGGATATTCCTACTACTGGATGAGGCTGATGGGCTCTCCTGTGTAATCTTGGGGGATTTCAATGCATCCGWGTTTTCTCAGCGGGTGACATTTGAAGTTGGAGGCACCGCTGTGTCATTTAGCTTCACTGAGTTGCAGCTTGGAAGTAGTTCTGTTGTGTTTCCTAAAATCTTGGTATAATGCCAAATACTATCTCAGAAGACTAAAATGTCCAGCTTTACTTGTTCTTTATCATTCTTTCCCTCTTTACATTCATTTTCTGAGATTTTTTCATGAGGCTCTTCTTTCACAGGAATCAACCTCTATTTAGTTATTTTTATTTTTAGTCTAGGGCAGTGGAGTTGGCTTTTGTGGACAGGCTTTGTCTCCCAAATCTGTGGTGTAGACACCCACAGCTGAAATAATTTCTGTAATCTCTCTTTCTTGGCAGTAAGCAGAAACAGGGAGCTGCAGAAAGCAGTTTTCAGAGTTTGTTTAAATATTAGAAACCATCTTTCCACTGACCAGTTTCTGAAATCAGGGAGCCACCTGCAGAGTCTCTGTTCTATCTAATATAGTCTGTGTGATTTATATGATCTATAGGATCCATCTGATCTTATTTATCAGTGTTAGACCACATGGTTTCTTGTGGAGGCAGAGAAGAGATAGGATACGCTGTGCCTGCTTGCGACAGCTCCTGGCATGGTTTTATTTTTTGTTATGGAAAGAGCCATCCGTTGTCTGCAAGGGGACACTTTCCCTTGTCAACTCCCCCAGAGGCTGTGGAAAACGATGCTTTTATTCCACAACTAGAGGACTATGTGAACAGCTTCAGCTGAGATTCCCAATCCTCATGTTGTTAATATTTGTGTAGCTTTCAGTTCATTCCGAAAATCTTCTACTGCAGAAGATTCCCCGAATTCTTCTCCTACCTTTGTGTCCCACCCCTAGTGTGTTGTGCCCTTTTGAATGGCTGTTTGCTATATTTCACTGTTAACAAAAAGAAGTCATATATTTTGCTAAAAATGGCCTTTTTCGATAGGAGAGCAGTGGACATCTGGGTCTTCTGGTTGATGTTTGATCCCCTTTCATATGGAATAAAATTAYCTTACCTTCATAAGACAAGTTTATAATTATTTTTCCTCAATGCTCATAGGTTGCCAGCTAATGTTTGTAYGGTATGGCTTTTAAATATTTAAAATGTATATTCCCATGATGTTTAGAGAATATCTTAGAGGACTGAAAGACTGGATGACAAGTATGGATACATAAGGAATATTGAAACTATTTTCACTGCCAGTGAATGGCAGTGAATAAGTACTGTTATCCTAGTAGTTTCCTAAGGACTTAAGATGATGCTGAGCAATCTAATATAGAGTGAAGGGCACTAAGAACAGCCAGGCTGTGCAAAAGACTGTCCTATAATGATCATGTGTAGATGAGCTAGGCAATACGTCAGTGATTGCATTTTGGAGAAAATAATGGTAAATATCTTGGAAAGGACATCTCGGTGGTGGAGCATGAGGTGATTYGGGGAAGCAAAATCATGTTTAAAATAGGCCATAGGAAAAGGCTGCAAACTGGAAATGCTAAAGAGCTTTTGCAGTTTTGTTGAATGCTTAATTTCAGGTGATTGTGTGCATATTAGGAAGCAGTAAGTTATTGATATTACTAGAYTAGATCTAGTATCTTACTGTTGGTATTGGACTACATTGACGTAGAGAATGTATTTCCTAGGAGGAAAATAATCCATTCTCCTTTCTCAACATAATAGGATAAAACAGCRTTGAAAAAATATTGCCTATAACCCTTTAAGTTAAATATTCTCAGAAAATTCAAATTTTGGAGATTTTTATTCTATATATTAATGACTTTACACGATTAAGTAAGTGGCTTTTATTTTGGTGGGAGCGCTTGGAAATTTTTAAAATATTTGAAACCAAGAGCTACTAAGATGAAGACATATATTAGTTACCCATATTTTATAGGATGTAAAATACAAAATCTAAGCATGTAACGAAACTTCTTTATTAGGAAAAATGTTACTGTAGGTAGGATGATGAGCTCTTGTGAGGGGTTACTTTTTTTGAAAATCTGAAATTTTCAAGAGATGCAATTCTGTCTTTAAAGGCTAACTGCTTATAGTCTGATATTCTGTCTGATAGTCTGACTTAAGTTCAATTGTCTTAATTGTAAAATTGTTAATAGTATGCACCAATTAATGATTTTTCTTTTTTTTTTTCTCCTCAATATTTTCAACAGGACCAAGCGAGCTCATGTTCCCCTCACGGAATGCATATTTGAGCTTCCTAATTTGACAATTCAGGCAACAAGAGCTCAAACCCTTTTGCTTCAAACTATTTATCAGAGCTGGTGTCATCCTGTTGGAAATGTCAGTTCAGTGGTGGTAAATGAAGCTTTGCTGAATGAGATTTTCCAAACTTCAGGTAAATATGYGATTGTTTTGGCTAAATATGATACATTCATGTCTTTATTATGTTACAGAGCACTGCCAGTGAATGTGCATACAACCTTTAAATCCAGGTTTTTACTTGCAGTTGTTAACAGACAGAATGTTTTTGTGTGCATATGGGTATTTATAGCTTATGCTTAAAATCCAGGATGTAAGCTAAGCCACCAAGCTTCACTCCTTGGCACCAATTTCTGGATGCATTTAATTTTCCCATACAGGATAATTTTTCCATACTCCCTCATTTGAAACATCCACCCTTGCTACCTTATATGGTGTAATGYTGTAACTTAAGATCATTCAAAGGTGAAACTGTTGGATGAAATAAAAAATACTGGATTATTAAGGGCTTTATTAATCAAGGACATTTTGTGGCACACAGAGGTGGATTTTTTTTTAAAAGGCTGCAGATGTTTTTAATCCAGTTTCATAAATAAGTGTTTCTTAACTCTTTGGAAACTGCTGAAGATATGCAGGTCTCACAGGTGGTGAAGGTGGTAAGTAATAAAATTGGTTATGTGATATCCTCTTGGAAACATTGTTGGTTGTTAGGAAGAAAATAAACATTTGTTTAACAAAACTGTCAATAAAATGCTGAAGTTATCACCCATTTGCATACTTAAAAAATTTACTGAATTTAGATGCTGTTTAACTCATAGGTAAGTTGGAACATGTTAAGTTTACTAAATCCACTACCATGGATACCTTCTTTAGTAAGAATTTTGCAGGGTATTGAATGCTGGCAAGTTCTAGTCCATTCTAGTCCTTCCCATATATGAATGAATATGTTTATTCTGGCTAAAGTGGGAAGTAAGCTCATTTTGCTTTCCTTCTATTCTCCCTGTGTGGTATACAGAACTATTTCATCCTTGTGAGGTTTTAATTAGAAAGATGCAAGAAAAAGCTCAGGAATTTCTCTTCAGAAACAGGGAGAGACTCTTGCATGAAGATGTCACWGACCTTTGGAGAAAAAGGTGTAAAGCACATGAGGTAGTAGAAGTTTGCTAGATTTTCAGTCCAGATCCTTCTGACCTGGACTGTTCCACCTTCAAGAACAGTAGTTGATTTAGAATTAGTCTTAGCTGGTTCAAGAAATTCCTTATTTTTTCAAAGACTGAATAGGATGAGGACTGTCAGAATTGTAATTTTGTAATTTTCTGRGTAGAAACTGTACTAGTTCTTTGAGTTCTCCAGAATTCTTCAACTTTTTTAGTGCAATGCTCAGTTTTACTGCTGTACATAAACATCCATTCATTTTATCCATCAAAGACTTGTTTGAGCCTTTTTCTTGTTTCCCATGTTTTATCAGAAGGAAATAAAAGGGCAAGTTACTCTATAATCTCTCTTCTGTTTCATGGAGTCAAACAGCAGTGAGTCATAGACCTGTGGATACAGTGAGTCATAGACCTGTGGATACAATCAGGAGGCTGACTGTATCAGGACAGACTGATGTCCTTTAAATTCCTGTTGGAGATTTCTAAAAACGTAGGAGCCTGAATACAGTGACATGTAGCCCCATGTCTGCATCAATGTTGCCGCTAGTCTGTAGAAGTAAGTAGGTAGGACAGATGTAGAGTGAATTCTTCTGCTACTTGGTCTCYGCTTAGATATATCTCCCTCCCTGCCTTTCTCCTCCCATCAACTTCCTTCCTCCCTTCAGCTAATAAGGTTTATTGTTGGAACCTTTAACTACTGAAGACTAATAGACTAATACTAACAGATTTTGACTAGCTTATTCAAGGATCACAGTCTTCAAGTGCATAAAGTTCATTCAGAGGAAGGTATTTTTTTCTTCACTGTATTTCTATGCAGACTGAAATAATTTAAGTCCACTATTGTTTTTCTATCATGAATAAATACGTAGCAAGAGTAACTGAGATCCTTTGGGATCTCTATTATTGCCAGGTTTTATTGCTAGGGGAATAATTCATATTTTATAAATTACGACTTGAGACAGAATGGTAGATTACACTTCCACTGGAGCTCTCTTTCAGTACTGTTTTTTCTCATTCCTGTTCTCCTTTTCCAGTTCTGTTTTCCTAGAGTTATGTTTGTGTTGGTCTGATATTGCAAAGTAACTTTTATTTCCATATATGTAACCCTTGGAGTAGCTGTTCAAGAACTCTTTTTTTTTTTTTTTTTCCTTCCATAAAAGTCTCCAATTCACTCCAATCTTGGCTTGATTCTGTGTGTATTACCTAAGGTTGAGACTMTGGTTTTATTTTCAAGTGTTGGTACTTCTAAAAGCATTGTTAACAATCCATACCACAGGTAAATGTGAAAATATATTTCAGTTATATAGTTGAATCCTATGAGATGGTCCCAGAGTTTGTGCAGTTCTGAAGTAAGCTGTTCCATCACTGAACATGCTGCAGTCCTGCAAATCAATGAACTGTGATACAACCTTGCTAACAAATGTGTTTGTAGTAGAAATCTGGAACACACATTTGAAGTACTTACAATAAAGTAAATGAATGTAGAATTTTATTTGTTTTGATCTTCTCTTGTTCATGGCTTAATGCTTGACCTGGTAAATTTTATCCTTCTGTAGTTACAGTTCTTATTAACTAGAGCTTTATGTTCAAGGCTGATGAAATAATTGCAGATCACTGTTTAGCTCTAGTTCTCAGCTTGGTTGATTTTTTAAGTCTTCTATCTTCTGTTAAAATGCCTTTGTGTACAATTTAGTATCATGCTTTACTGAAAATTCTCCTTGTGCTCAGTATCAGATTCCACATCCGTTAACAAAAGTGTGTACATGTGTAAACTCTTAAAAAAATACTGTAATTGCACAGAGAAGTTGAAATTTCAGCTTTTATTCTTCATTGAAGCAACTGTGAAGATAATGTAGCCAATAAGGAACTGACTTTTTTGTTTCTGTGTATCCTCCTCTTGGAAGGTAGTTTTATGTTTGCCGTGTTCTTAGTCATCTGAAATCCACCTCAGCGATTACTTATATACCCTTTTGGGATGAGACTTAACCTTAACCTTGGTGCCTTAAATTAAAGAGGGGTATAAAGAAACTGAAGGGGATCCAGTGGATGGTTGCCAAGATGGTCAAAGATCTAGAGCACATTTACACTGGAGATATTTGAGKTAGCTGAACTTGATTAGTTCTGGTGAAAAGCAAAGAGGTAATTTAGCAGTACCTACAAATCCATTTGAAAGGCAGCTTCAAAGCTGATGGGGCCATACTCTTCTCGATAATATGACATGATAAAACAAGAGGTAATCGCAACAAATTGTTGCTTACAAGGCTCAGGTTGAGCATTAATGTGGCACTAAAAAGGATTGCCCAGAGATGCTGAGGCATCTGGCTACTGATGAGGCTACTGCCCCATCCTTGTAGATTTTCAAGATTTAGCTAGACAAAACCTCACCTTTTGTAGCATCAATGCTAGTCCTGCTTGGAGAGAGTGGTTAGRCTAGACCTCCAAAGGTCCCATCCCAATAATATTTTTATGATTTCTTTTACAACCACAAGTGATCTCAGATGTTGTTTGGCCAGTTACCAAGATACTGTAGATTTAATGTTTCCATGCACACCATTTTGAACACATTAAATGTTTGTGCCATGCTGGCTTTAAAAAAAAAAAAAAACAAACAAAAACAAAAACAAAAAAAAAAAACTCAGAAATAATAACCTTTGTGTCAACAGTATTCACTGTGTTTTCCATCTGATCACAGTTCATGTCTTAGCTGAGCAACGAAAGTAGCACAAAAGTACTTCAAGTTGATGGCTTTCTGTCCTTATGGTGCTGTGGATCAATTGTTTTTATTTTCTTGATCAACTTTATACAAAGAACACTTTATTGCATTTTATGCCTCTGTTTAAATGCAGCTTTGTGCATTAGCCTTTCCTGGTTTTGCTTCTACACAACTGTAGTGTACTTTGGGAAATCGAAGCTCTTCTTATCCACGGCTTTCTTTGTTTGTCAGGGGATCTCTTTCTTGACATTGATTGTTTTTATTTAGCTTTTATACTTCCTCCTACTCTTCGTTATGATCAAAAAGCCTGTGTTTCACAGGTATTGTTGCCTAAATTATCCTGCCTTTACATTTAAAACTTCTCAGCGCTTTGTTTTTTGTGATGGTTAAGACGAGGTCTTACCTAGATCTCTATCAAGATACTTATTCCCCTATAACCCACTCAGACTTGATAATATTTTCAAAAAAATGAAGGACACCTTTAGCTTGTCTTCCTACTTTTAAAGGCCTGTCATTATTCAGGAAATTCCATCAAATCTCCCCTCAGTGATGTAGTTGGAAATGTGTTTGCCATTTGATATGCAGGAGTAGTCAGGAACAATGCAGGCTGCCTCTCTCCTACCGATTTTTTGTGGGGTGACTGGTGAGTGTTACTGCAACGCTTGCTGCTCGGCTCTGCATGCCTCTGTTGAAGCTAAGCACCAGATGCTTTCTGGTCTGGTAGTGAGTGCTGTGCCTCCAAAACATGCTGTTTTTTCCTGAAGTGATTACTCTGAACTGATGCTGCAGGAGATGGCGGCCTCTCAGCGTAGGTCTTTGTCGCAGTGCTGTGGTCCCTCGTTGTTTACTTCGCTTTGCCCAGGCAACTTCTCCAGTTTTCTAGTCGCATCTCTGTGAACCTGTGCTTACAATACGGGCTAAGGTGTGATGTGAGGAAAGAAGGATGGAAAGGAGAGCGGGAGGAGGATCAGCTCCGACATTTGTAGTTCAGAGATGGAGGTAGCGACGCGTGAGGGAGAAGCACAACAGGGCGGAGCTGGTGGCCACCTGTAGGCCCAGGCGCAGCGGCCCTGCTGGGAGCCCGTCCGCTGCGCAACTCCGCAGCTTGCAAAGGGAGTCCACAGGGAGTCTGTGTGTCCACAGACAGACACAAACGGGAGCCCATAGCTGGGCCTCTGTTGCATGGATCTGCCGGGAGCAGAACTATTTTTCTGCTCCGAAGCTTCCTTCAAAACTTGCTTAGACTGAAGATGATCTGGAGATCCAGAA